TGATGTGTTCTGGGTGGGCACTTTCCCATCATTCACCATGGAGGTCAGCCCAGGACCAGCCAGGCTGGCTGAACCTGTGAGCCCCACTTCTCTTCAAAGACACTTTCTTTAAAACAAGTGTTTTTTTATAGCAGCTGACAAATCGCCAAGCTGACAATGTAAAGTGCAGTCTATGGGCTGGGGTTGTGGCTCAGGGGCAGAGGGATTGCCTAGCATGTGTGAGGCACTGGGTTTGATTTTCAGCATGGCATACAAAATAAATGAATAAAATAAAGGTCCATCAACAACTAAAAATATATAAAACAAAATATAAAAAAAACAAACAAAAAAACCCAAAATCTAAATTAGTAAGTCCACACCCCAGGTGAGTGGAGTCTTGATCTTTATAACCTACATGTCCTTCTGTGTACCCATAGGCTCTGGGGTGGGGGACACTCTTCCCGTATGCGAAGGAGACAGTAATGCCAGGAAAATGAATTTACAGATATGGAGCAGATACTTGGCAGTTAACAGACCTAAAGAGAAAACCAACCTTTTATTACTGAAGTTCTGTTTTCAAGAAGGAATAATGTTGCCTAGTGTGGGGCACACCCCTGTGATCCCAGCTACTTGGAAGGCTGAGGCAGAAGGATTGTAAATTTGAGGCCAGCCTCAGCAACTTAGGGAGACCCTGTCTCAAAGTAAAGTTTTTAAGAGGGCTGAGGATACAGCTCAGTATAAAACACCCCGGGGCCCCCAGAGTGAACACACACACACACACACAAAGCTTCCTACATCCCTTATCATTTTTACCATTCATCACAAAGCCTGTTTTTTCAGGCTCTCTGGAAACCATCTAAATTTTAAGTTGTTTTCAAACACCAACCAAAACCTCTGGGCCTGCGTGTGGGTCCCAGGAGGTACCTCCCTATGGTCAGCTGCCAACCTCTGACACCATTCCCCACCACCCGAACCAGACACCCCAGCTCAGGTGGGGTCATCCATGCCCCCCAGCCAAGGTGCCCAAGCGGGACACAAAATCTCCGTGTGACAGTGAACAGACTCATGGTGGCCCACAAAGTAAGGACACACTCAGTGCAGATGGCCACCAGAGCCTGAGAGGGACCTGCCCTGGCGGACCCAGCCTGAAGACACCCCCCCACAGCTCTCTGTCCTCAGAGCCGCCATCATGGCACACAGACGCATCAGCAGGGAGCTGCGGCGGCCTGAAGGCGGTCTGCACTGGTCACAGGGAAGGCCGAGGGGAAGCGCCTTTCCCAGGGACACCTGCCCACCCTGCCTGACAGCACTCTGGCTACTCCAGGACCCTCCTGAGCCACCTGCTGTTCCGCAAAGGGGAGCCCAGCTCTGAATAAGGAGGTGATGTCGACCGCATGTGTGAAGGCAGATGGCGCTTTCTGAAAAGAGGAGCATCTGGTGATGCCCATCAGCACTGGGGGGTGCGTGGGCAGAGGCCTGCACAACAGCCGGCTGGGCCAGGCCCTCAGGTCCCTCTGGGGAGTCAGGCAGACCTCTTGGACTCCACCTCCACGTGCCCCTGTGCCCCTCCTCTGTCCCCCAACTTCACAAGCCACATGGTCAGGTTGCCTGGAGGCTGGAGGTGTGCCCGCCCCTGCCAGGCTGCCCCTCCCTGACTGGGCGTCACAGCCGTGTCCCTAACTGCCCCACACTCAAAGCTGCACATGAGTGGCCACAGGGACCCACACACCAGGCACCCATCCCCACACAGGGCTCAGGGCACTGGAGGCCCATCCTGCCTGGGAGCCATGGTGCACAGCTAGCTGAGCGTCTGCCCCACAGGGACCCTTAGCAGACTCCACAGGCATTCCCAGTGCCCAAGACCACAGTGCTGGCACCCCAATGCGGCCACCCAGGTGGGGCAAGGCTACCCAGCCTGTGGGAGGAATGCCGGGTACTGGGAGAAGGCTCCTCAGGACCCTAGAGAGGACCCCGGGAGCCAGGTCTAGACAGCACTGCTCAGACCCATGTCCAGGTCAACAGAGATGCCAACCTAGAGCCAGAGGCCCACGAGCTACTGACCGGTGGTGTGAGAAAGGTGGGCAACACTTCTGCAGCTGATACCCCCTCTCACTCACCTGGTCCCCGTCCAGCAGCTACAAAGACAACCTGTCACCGGCCACCTGGAAAGGAAGGCTGTCATTAATTCCCAACAAACAGACGCGTGGAAGAAGAGCTGTTACCAGAGTACCAGCACCCAAAGCTACCCTGCGGGGATGACCTGCGGAGGAGGACGAAGAGCAGCAGTGGACCTGCAGATCCAGGTGCTGGCTCCAGGCTTCCTGGCTCTTGAGGGAGGCAGGAGGTGGAGGTGGCAGGCCTTCCCCTGTGGCTGGGGACACGAAGGAGCATGCACTCCCACCAGACCTCTGGGGCCAAGGCAGATGGTCAGAAACGGTGACCCCATGCAGGAAGGCCCCCGGAGATGGCCTCGCTCTCGGCTGTGGGAATCCGAGTTCTCAACCTCCTGCATGTGAATCAAATGTTTTCTGGGGGAAGAAATCCTCAGAACAGGGTCACAGAGACAGGCCTCGCAGGGTTGCCCGGCTGGTCCTGACCGTGGGACCCCTGACAGGTCCTCCCACCCAGGCGCCCAAGTGACTCAAGAAACACTTTAAATCGAACAATTCTGCTTCCTGTGTCCCCGGGGAGTGGAGCGGTCATAGTGATAGCTAACGCTTGGTTCACCTCCAAGGACGAGCTGAAAGGGGCCGAGGGAGGAGGAAGGCCATGTCCCAGCTCCTGAGGCACCAGGCTTGGGCCTCCATGGCGCCCCCCCGGCCTGCTCCTGGCCACGTGGCACTGCCCGGAGGCTCACCTGGGATGGAAGGGCAGTGTCAGCCGCTTGGCTCGGGATGCAGGTTCACCAGAGACCAGAGTTCCAGGAGCACCATGCAGGACCCCAGAGTGCATGGCTGGCCAGGGACAGTGCCAGGGTCTTCACGCAGGGTGAGTGTGGGTATTTTCCTCAGCTGGGCAAACCCAGCAGCAGGGGTCTCGTTGGTGACTCATCTGAGCTCGGGGTCAGCCTCCCAGGAGCAAACCAACTTCAACAGAGGGTTTCATCACAGAAAGTTGCAGCACGGGACCTCGGGCCTCGAAGGCTGATCTGACAGGGGCTTCCAGGCAGATGCTGCGGCTCCTCCACAGGGCAGGACGCCCCAAAGGGCAAGGGCCCAGCACCATCCAGACTCGAGCTCGGGCCCTGGACGCCTTGTTTAAACAGCTGAAGGAAGTGTTCTCTAAGCCAGAACGGAGGTTGCTGCCTCTGCCCTCCAGATGCTCCTGCCCACGGCCCAGGGTGAGCCATAGCCCAGTTCCAGTGCCACAGCCATGAGCCCCCAGGAGCCTGGTGGCCTCCTCCAGGGAGGCAGGACCATGTCACATGCAGCTCCGTGGGTGTCACTGGCCGAAGCTCACGGTGCTCCAGAGGACGCCTGTGCTCTCGTGTCACCGTGGGATGGGACGACGCCACACCCTCCTATACCCGGCTGGCTGGTGTTCACGTGAGATCCAAGCTACCACGTTCCTGCGCCTTCTCCAGACCCACGGAGGCAACGCGCTGGCCGAGGACCTGAGTGGGTTATTTGTACACAGCGGCCACTTGGCGCAGCTAATGGCTCCTTTTCAGTGAACAATGACTGTAAACAGGTAGGCCATTAAGTCAGGCTGCTCAAATGCAGAAGTCCTCATACCAGGCCGACACCCCCGCCTGCTGCCCGTCTGGTCAGTCCTATGAAACAAGGACATTAACTCAGCTTCTCTAGAACGCTCCAGGACCACCCAGACAGGACCGCTGGCAGTCTACGCTTCGCACACAGCCCACTCACTGCATGTTCTCCTCACTGACCAGTCCACACTCGGTCCACTGCGCACTCCATCTGCCTGCTCGGTGCTCCTGGACGTCGTTCTGTGGCAGATCCCAGCACCTATGTAAATGGCTGCATCTCCATTTCTCAGACGTGGGAACGAGGTCTCAGCAGCGTGTCCAAGACCAGCGCCCAGTGCCCACACACTGCCCCGCCCCACCCTCCGGCCCTCGACAGGTGCACGGGAATAAAGAGGACACGGGCGTTCCTTCCAGGCAGCATTTATTAGCCATAGCGATACACAGCCCTTACACCAACACAAACTCTCAGGATATTTGCGTCCTCATGAAAACAAAATTGTAGAAATGCTGTCTTTAAAAACAGCAAAAATAAAACAAAGATACATGTTCCAAAGCCCCACAAACGACCGGCACCCTCCTTTATTTCATTCAGGGGACTCGGCACGAGGTGAGGACGCGGCTCCACACGCCCGCCCGCCCCGCGCAGCACCTGCCGCCTGGGGTGTGCCCCCGCCCCGTAGGGGACAGGCCTTTGTTCACTCCACCCCTGGCAGAGCCTCCTGGCACTGCACTGCCTGGGGCCGTGTGCACTGCCAGTCTTGGGGCTGGTGCTGCAGGCTGTGTGAGCTGGTCAGGTAACACCTCCCGCCCACCAGGGACAGGCACCAAGGGCCTCTGCAAGGTGCAGCCGTACCTCCTGCCACGCGTGGTCTCACTCCCACCACAGCGCTGAGGGTGGACACAGCACCCAGCTTCGTCCCACACTCACTGCCACGGCATCATCTAACAAGAACAAGCACGCGGGTGGCCTGCTGTCCTCGGCAGCCGCAGCTTGGCTGCACACCTCCCCGACTGGGCACAGGGCCCAGCAGAGGGCGCCTGGTGCTCCACAGAAACCCGAGCCTTCCAGGCCTGCAGCATGAACAGCAAACACCTCCCTGGCTCTCCTGCTGCCTGACCACACATAGGCCCCAGGGGACCCCAAGGCCAGTTCGGGCTTTGTGCAGCCTCCCAAGATGCCTAGAGGGACGGCCCTCAGCCACGGGGTGATGGGCAGCCCCACCCTTGTCCTCCATGCTCTCTGGGTCTGACCCTCGTGATGGGATGATGGACGCGGAAGCAAGCACAGCAACAGGCCAGGGGCTGGACTTACGAGACAGCGAGTGGGCACCCTTAGGCAGGTACTCGAACAGCAGGGAGCCGTCGTCCCCCAGCACGTCAGCCTTCAGAGACAGCAGGCTGCTCTGACTCATGAGTGCCGCGCGCAGACCGGCCACCGCACTGGCCTGGTGCAGCACCTCGTCCTTCTCAGGAGTCAGGGGTGGGCCCAGGCAGCTGGCCTCTCCCAGGAGGCCCTCGTCCACGTGGGTGTACAGCTCGGCCCTCTCCCCTCGGCTGTCGGAGCTGCTGGCCTCAGTGACAGTCAGGTCTGCACCTGCGGGTGGGAGGAAGACACGTCAGAGGACACGGCAATCTTCAAGACTCTCCTAGTGGACAACGCGGCCAGTCTAGGGGAGGGCAACAACCTGCTGCTGACCATGGCCTGTGAGATGTGGACCCAGTCCTGATGACCAGGACACCTGCCAGGGCTCTGTAGTGGCCTAGTGCTCCATCCCGCCCCGTCCTGCCACCCCGACCTGCTGTGCCCTGGCAGCTCCTCACAGTCACAGCCCAGGCCTCAGGCCGCAGCCCGGCTCAGAGCCCCACCCTGGACGAGGACTCAGACCCATGCAGACTGCCCGGAGCTACAGGACTCCACCTCAAAGAAGAGGAGATATCAGCACCAGCATCCAGCCTGGATATCAGAGCTGCAGCCACAATGCTCAGGAGAAATCCACGTGAGCTTGGACCTGGTGATGGGTTCTGAGGTCCACACCTGTGTGCCATGGCCCCTGCCCTGCCCTTCAGAGGCACAAGCAGCAAAAACATACACTAGATTTCATCAAAATCAAAACCTCCTATGTTCCATGTCTGCTCTCAAGAAAGTGAGAAGACAACCCATCAAATGGGGAGAAAATATTTTCAAGCCATGTTCTGATAAGAAATCCTACCCAGACTGCTTAAAGGACTCTCGCGATTCAAAAGACAAACACACAGGGCACTAGGTCTGACCAGACACTTATCCAAAGACATCAAATGCCCCATCACAGCCAGGTACAGCATCATACCCCTGAGGTGTGGACCCCAAAACCCAGAACATGAGGAGTGCCATCGAGGGCATGGGCCAAAAGCCCTGTGCACCTGGTAAGAATGCAGTCGAAGCCCACACAGTGGCTACTCTGGCATCCCAGGGACTAGGCTGGGGCAGGAGGACGGCAAGCACAAGGCCAGCTTTGGCAGCTCATCCAGACCCATCTCAAAATGAATTATTAAAAGGGCTGGGGTGTGGCTCAGTGATAGAGCACCTAGGTTCAGTCCCCAGTACCGACAGGGAGGGAGGGAGGCCGCACGGGGCAAGTGTCCCTAATGGCAATGTTAAAACCTAACAAACTGGGGCTGGGCTGCGGCTCGTGGCAGAGCGCTACCTGCATGCCTGTAGTCCTGGGTCCCTCCCGTCCCAGCGCAGACATATATGACCAAAGAACCAGCCGACGACTGGGCCCGGGAAGACGGCTTGGAGCCTGCACTAGGCACTGTCCCACGTCCAGTGGAATCTTCCAGCAGCTCCGTCTGCTGCCCGCCTTGCCAGGCCACTGTGCACACGAGTCCCCACAGCACCACAGGTGCCTCCCAGATGAGGGCCAAGGGCAGCCGAGGTGGCCCACCCCAGGGCCCTGAGAACGGCTGACTCAGAAACGCACCGTGTACTGGTAACGTGGGTGCTGCCACCACACATGTGCCCGCATGTGGGCACACGGGTCACACACTCACACACGCATGTGCACACTCCTGTACATGCGCTCGCGCAGGCCCTGCTGAGCCCAGCCCGTGATCGGCACCTCTGACCATGGCTCTGGCCCAGAGGGCCTCCCGTCCGTCTTGCCAGAGCAGGCACAGTGTGTGCTGTGCCTTCCCAGTCACGGTGACTCCCGAGTGCCTGGATCATGGCAACAGCCTCGGTAAATGTTTTTCGAATGAATAAAGAAAAGGGAGGGAGGGAGGAAAGCAGTAAGGAGCACATCTTCCATCTCACCACAGGGTCCAGAAGCACAGCAGCCTCGGTGGCCCCCCGCGGCCAGAGTCTGGAGCTGCGCCTGGTGCCTCCGGGTTCCCAGCAAGTGCGTTGTCCTTTCAGGCCCCTGCCAGGGCCGGCACGCCCTTCGTAGTGGTCTGGAATCCCGGAGAAGGAGCGCTGGCCTCTGATGTCCTGGCTCTCTGGGGTGCTCCTGAGCCTCCAGGGCTGCCCTCTCGTCTTGGATGCCCCCCAAGCCTCTCCCTCACTCTACCCTAGGGCCCTTCCTGCTGGCCCACCATGCTGTGCAGGCCTGCCCAGGCCCTGACCCTGCTCGCCACGGGGTCGCTGGTTCTGCTGCATCTGCTCCCCGCTGCTGTCCACTCTGGGGCAAGTCTGCTCCATGAGGGTCTTCCTCCCCAGGGGTACAAGGGAGGGTCGAGGAGAGACCCCAGGGCGGGGCCATGCTGGGCCCACAGAGGGCTGCAGCTGCAGATGAGAGACTGGGGCGGTGGCTTCCCTGCCATGCCCCACTGGCTGAGAGAAGACGAGGCTTCCGACAGAGTGCAGACGGTGTGGGGATCGGGAGGGGAGACCCGCCCCAGGGGGCGCAGAGGCCGCCCTCAGCTCCTTCTCCTTCCCAGGACAGCCATGGGCCCAGCAGTGTCACTCGCACAGCAGCAAGATGGGGCCACATCAACTGTCCACGGCTGGCCAGGGTCTGTGTCACCTCCCACTGGGGAGCAGCGAACGGCCTGAGACCTGTGCCCGAGTGTTGGAGGCCACCTGTGGGCGACACTGCCACCTCAGCACAGCGTCTCATCTGGAGGTGACACCCACCTCCGAAACAGCTCTCTCAGTCTTCTGCTGTTACAGTTTTGATGTGAGCGTCCCCGAAGCTCACGTGCGAGCAAGTACAAGAAGGTTAGAGGAGAAATGACCGGCTTATGAGGGCCTTGACTCAGTCAGTGAATGAATCCCGACAGGGATTGACTGAGTGCCACTGAGGTGGAGGGTGCGGCTGGAGGAGGGGGCATGGCGGCACGGCTTCGTGTCTGGGAGTGGAGCCTCTCTCTCTTCCTGGTCACCATGTGAGCTGCTCCCTCTGCCACTCTTCCACTTGATGTTCTGCCTCACCTCCAGCCCCGAGGAACGGAGCCGGCATCATGGACTGAGACCTCGGAAACCGTGAGGCCTCAATTAACTTTCCCTCCTCTACAGCTGTTCTGGTGGGGTCCTTTAGTCACGGGGGGGGGGGGGGACTGGGGACTGACTAAAACACCAGCTGAAGCCTAGCACAGAGGTCCCTACACACTTGTGGTCCCAGGGACTGGGAGGCTGAGGCAGGAGGAGCCAAGTTCCAGACCAGCCTGGGCAACTTAGTGAGGGCCTAACCATCTCAAAATAAATAAAAAGAAAAAGGACTCGAGGTGTGGCTCAGTGGCATAACAACCCTGTGCTCAATCCTCAGCACCAACAATGAATAAATAAATGACCCCTACCTGGGAAGAAATCACCACCACAATCACAGCTTTGAAAAGATAAAACTGGCTCAAATAAGTAGATTAGGAGCAGGAAACACCATGCAGAGTTGCATGGAGGCCCTGGGCAGGAGGAGATCCGCATCAGGGGCAGCCTAAGGGAGGGCGCATGAGGTGCAGGGCAGCTGCAGGAGTCCCCTCCAGACTTCTCCAAATCCACTGTGGCCTGAGGATGCCCCACCTGAGTAGGGGCCCATCCACAGGCTCTCTGGCCTGGCCAGCAGCCACAGACCACAGCCAGCCTCTAGAACCTGCACTCTCGGTCTGAGGAGTGGAACCCACGGCAGACACCACCCTCCAGCCACACGGAGCCCAGACCGCCACACTGAGCCTCAGGAGCAGCCAAACACTGGCTTTCCCACCACCACAGAGCACCAGGTTCAGGAAACACAACTGCAGGAAAACGCTAGAGATGCGCTGTGTGTGAAGTCACCTCCACCTTGTGAGTTTTTTTAAGTTGTTCTTTATTTCTGAAGGTCCAAACTAAATTTGTTTCCTCACTTATAATCATATCAGGGTGTTTCCACATCATGTAAGAACTTCTCTCTTTTCCTATGTGCATTTGTTCCTGGGTATCTAGAGGGTACTGGTTCTGGGAGCCCCAGGATAGAAAGCCCATGACACTCAAGTCCCTGGCAGAGTGGCACCGTGTCTGCACAGGGCCAGGGCCTCCCTCCCATGGCCTTCAAGCCAGCTCTGATGACTTGTGATCCCTAACACAGCGGAAATGCTGTGTAAACAGGTGGGACACTGTACTACTGTTCAGGGGATAGTGACCAGAAGAAGTCAGTGCATGTTCGGTAGAGATTTGATTTCCTGATTTTAATATTTTGAATCCATGTTTGGATCTGCAGATGGGAAATCTGGAGACACAGAGGTGGCCGTGCACGCACTCAGCACCTCAGCTAGGAACTCCAACAGGGAAAAGCCAATGCTTCTGGCGAGTGGCATCAGGACAGTTGCACAATCGCATCAAAAGCCAACCTCAAGCCAACCTCATGCCACATATAGAAAGCGACTCAAGTCACAGGAGCTCGCGTTGCACTTGAGTCTGTAAAACTTCTAGGAAAAAGCAAACTCAGGAGAAGTTGGTGACTTGGGCAGAGGTCCTAGGACCAAAGGAGAAGGAGCCAAAAAGAAAAGGGTCAACAACACTGTCTGCTCTTAAAGTACTGCTGGATGAGAAAACGAGCAAAAGACACAGGAAGCGTTTGCACCTGATGTCGGATTTGCATGCAGAACAGCAGGATCAGCGAAAATGAATGGACGGAGATGAGTGGACACTTCCCACGAACAGGCAGATGGCCACCAAGCCCAGGACAAGCCCTCAGCACCTCACAGCCCGAGGAGGAACAGCAGACAGCAGGAAGGAGCTCTGTGAACAGCCAAGAAGCTGTGAAGGAGCCCAACGGCCCCCCTGCTGCGCAGAGCTGAAGAGTCTCCCAGCCTGGACACTGGGGGGAGGCGGAGCCCTCAGGGATGTTGGGACCTGGTTCCTGGTCTTTCTGTGCTTCCTGGCCACCAGGAAGGGAGCAGCCCCCATACCACTCACACCCACAACCGATGCACTATGCCGCCACAGGCCCAAAACAAGGGGCCAAGTGAACCACAACCCAGAACAAACCTTCTCCCTTATAAGTCCTTTATCTCAGGTACTTTGTCACAGTGACAGAAAACTGACTGACACACTCAGCCACCAAGGAAATGGAAACCCTGAAGAGACCCACGCTTCTTCCCCCGAGGGGACAAAATCCAAAGGTGCCAATGGAACCCAAGGAGCTG